AGCTTAATGTTACCTTACTCCTACATCATCGGCAGATCTCGTAACCGTCAGCAGATATAGAATGGCCTTTGTCGCGTCAGTTGAGACGAGAGTTGGTGGTGGAATTAGAAACATTGTTGCTTTCCAAAAAACTCTCCAATTCGAGATGGACATCGGTTTACACTTCACTGCTGCCTCCTAAACTCCCCAAACATGTGGCAATAGACTGTCACTCTGCTACCTCCTCGGAGACATTGGATGTGCGGGTCAGAGGGCGCTTTCAAGGCATGCCACGATTATAGCCGTATTGGCCATTACAACCAACTATACTACTATTAACATTATGAGTAGGTCGCAAAGTATTTGTGTTTTGTCAACAAAAACTCGAGACCCAGGCCAAGTTGAAAATGCTCTTGACGATGTGGCCTTTCGAGGGTCAAGCAAAAGTGGACTTTTACGACTTGCCATTGTGGGACATTCCACTCTGCACGCTTCCAGACCTAAGACATTTTTTTGATTCTGGCTGGAGTAAAACGGTACCTACCTCAGCTTGTGCGATCTCCAGGTCGAGGTTGACCTCATTGCGATAGAAGCTGTGCAGCGCCTCCATGGCGAAGGCCAGATCGTCCAGGTTTCCAAGTGTGCGAGAAAGGACCCTCTCAAACTCGTCTATGGTGGCCGCGATCGGTACCACCTGTATCACGTACAATTCGGTGCATTTTCGCACAAATACCTGAAAAGTAACAAGTGGCCATGACAAAGAATGAGTTGTTTGGTGGCATTTTCTTTCGCTTTGTTCTGGTCAAACGATTTGTGCATGTCGAATGTGCACAGTCAAGCTGGACTTGGCTTCCTCATCAAATCGGAAGTCTTCAGGAATTCTAAAACAAGTCAAATGCTCAAGAGTTTATGGTAAATCTGGTCCAGTCAAGCACTGCTTGCTTGTTTGCCTCGGTCTGATGACGTGCGTCGGACGACGCAGAATAAAAGCTTACCTCGTGCCAGCCGGCATCGAAACCGCTCGTCTCGGCGACAGCTTCGACAGGAAGGCTCCAGCGGAGCCAAGCGGAATCCGCCCGCCCTCGTGCTCTTCTCGGACCGACCTTCGCGACACTTCATACCACACACACTCTCACTCGAAATGGAAGCAAATGATGAGTTCAGCATTTGCAAATCTACCGATTTCTCGTCTCATCTGTCAGGTCGGCTACTGCTGTTTGGATTTCGGAGAAATTGCGAGAAAATCTAAAATTCAAGACGTCACTTGCCCTGATGTTGGTCACTTTTATTGTTGTCAAGGCGACCTATTTTAAGTGTAGCCTATCCGGAGTCGTCTGCCTTTGAGAAGTCATGATAATTCCCAGCGCCAGACCTTGGATGTGGTATGTTGCGTGGCTAGAACTGAGCATGACCGCTATGGCAGAGGACTACTAGCGGGTTGTATTAATCAAGGTCATCATGTCGTCAAGGTGGCCAGAGTGCATGTGACGAGTTGACCAAGTCAGCATGTCGCCGATCAGAGATACGAAAGTTAGCTGGGTTTCGAGAATTCTTTAAAAATTCACATTTTTAAGAAGGTGCATTTTGTATGAAAGTGTCAACTTGAGACTTTGACAAAAATGAGTTCAGCTCTGAGGATGTCCATCGAATGGCAACACGGACGAAAGTTAAGTGCATTTTAACCAGAAACAAGGTCAGATGTCTCATGGACCGAGTCAACATGAAGATCGTAGTTAAGCCAAACGCGTAAGTGAAACAACGTTTTTCAGTGAAAACGACCTACGAATCTCTTCATCAGACTTGCGTTTCATATGAAAGTGTGTCCGATGAAGAGATTCCAAATTCGATCTACTCAGAAGAGACGACAGCTGATTCGCAATGTTCTGCAACTCTGTTTGACTTTACTACAACCTTCACGATGGTACAGTCCACAAGATGTATCCCATTGTTTCGGATAAAAATGGTGCGCGATTTCGTCCGTCACATGATCGACATCCTCGGAGCTGAAATTGACTTTTGTCAAAGTCTTAAGTCGACGAACATCAAATCAAGAAGACTGACCGAGAAAACTCCTCAGATATAGATGCATATAGAAAAGTTTATCTGATTTCTTATGCTCGAGTGTGTCTGTGCTTGTGTGTGTGTGTGTGTGATAACGCCTGTACGTGAAACAGGGCATAAGTCAGAGTAACTAGGAAAAAGACTAACTTCATAGCCGGCTCATCTGGGCTCAATGACCCAATGAAAAATGCATGACGGAGGTTGTGTTTATCCGTAAGTAACTCTGGTTGCATTGATGAGATGCAAGCCTATTTTGCCTTGAAGCGATGAAGACTGACTCGTGGACGGTACCAGCATGAAAGTTCATGCACTTTTGTAGCAAATACCAGTCTTCTCAACAATGAAGCGCTTTTCTCAAACAAAATACTGCTACAATTTTTCACTTTATATCTCAATGTCTACTCATTCGTTCACTTGTAAGTAGTATCTGTACGTTTCATTTGCTCGGCTAAATCGACTATCGCTCTTTACATGTCCTGTGCTAGAAGTGACAACACAAACGGACGCTACAAGTGGACAGGCCTTACGCAGTCTGGAAGCAACGAATCCAACCCAAATTAATCTCTCGGTCGTGGCAAAAGGGAAGGATTGTGGCCTGCTTCGATCTCGCCAAAAATCCCAAACTAAACACACACACACACACACACACGATGCTCATGGCGAACGAATGGGTCAACATGAAGTATGGACAAGTTAAGGAGATTTAAAGGCAGCAGATACCATTTCGTGTTCGCCGAGCAGCTGTTTTGCCGCCAGCTTGAACTTGCTTGTGTTCACTTCCAGTGGGCCGACGATGTAGTTGTCTGAGATTTGCCCCAAGCGGATGCTGACGTTGCGAAGGCGTGTGAATTTGGCCTCAAACTCGTCCAAACTCGGCAATCCATTGGCCAAGAACTGCTCAAGGTTATGTGATGGCGACAACAGCCACAGACTGGAGAACTCCTCCAACGGTTGTGTGATTGACCGAATCTCTTTCACTTGACCTAAAAGCGAAATGGCATAAAAATGATGAATTAAAATTGAATTCGCCCAATTTCGTAAAAGGTGATGAGTGCTTGACAGTTGAATGGTCTCCACGACCAGACGAGTGGGCACCAGGTCGCAACTAGATTTCACATGGACCTGCTTCCCGAAAGCTATTCTCATCCCGACTCGAGGCGACTGCAGCTTCAGTCCAGCCTCAACCGGCCTCACATCGGCACCCTCGGCGGAACTCGAACCATATCGTTTCGGAGCATAATCTCGAGACGTCAATCATTCCATCGCACACTGGCATGAGTGCTTTTGACTCGAAGGGAAGATGCGAATGTGCGTTTCGACGAGCCTGCTGAGATGACATTGTTGAGTAGACCAAAAACGCATCATGAAGATATTTGACAGTTGATCTCACCAAAAGAGGACAGCCGATTCGCCACAATATTCTTAGGTTTCGGGTAGACACGAGTTGACATTGTTTGCATTCGTTTTCACCCAAAGCGAGGGAGGATGTCTTGTAGACTGCGTCAACTTAACGTCGTTTTACAGTCAAACGACTGCCATGCAACGCGAAGCAGGCGTCGTCTTCTGGCGAGGCTAACCTTCGAATCTCTTCTTCATTCGAAATGAAGATCTCCTCAACTATTTCAAGAAGCGCTAAGCATTTTTGCACACCACATCCTGTGGTGGGATTGCCTATTCAATCGCACTGTTACTTGCTAAAGCAATCGATTACACTACTTATTTTTCGTTTTAAGTAGCTTTTCGAGACTACCAGTAGAACTTATAGTTGCATCATTTTAAATTCACCAACTCAGCAAAACAAATTCGCTAATACGTAATCGCGGGTCTGCTATAATCATCCCTCCTCTACAAGTACCCACCCAGCTACCCAGCCACCACCACTTCCGCCCACACACACACACACAGACACACACACACATGGACGCATACTCAAGTACATAAGTAGTTTGACCAAGACGAGAAGGAACCAACAAATCCCTTCTTTTAGTGACAGGTCTACCTTGCGGGTAGGCCAGTGCCGGTTAGCCTCAGCGGTTTGGGGTTGGCCTGAAGACGCATGCAAGGAAGAGATCGCGGTCTGATCAAGTCTGCCAAAGGGCATGAAGGCTAGTATTTACCGAAAGTGAAACAGGGTCCCTCAAGGGTAGAGTCAATCAGACTTTATAGTAGCATCAAGTAATTGTAACAAACAAGAAGAATCAGATTTCTTTTTCTCCTTCTTCTTCTTCTTATTATTATTTTCATTTTACTTCTCCTTCTTCTTCTTCTTCTTTTTCTCCTTCTCCTTCTTCTTTTTCTCCTTCTTCTTCTTCTTATTTTCCTTTTCTTTCTCCTTCTCCTTCTGCTTCGTCTTCTTCGTCTTCTCCTTCTCCTTCTTTTCTTCTTCCTATTATTCTTCTTCTATTTCTTCTTCGTCTTATTTTTCTTCTTCCTATTCTTATTCTTCTTTTCCTTTTAATTCTCCTTCTTCTTCGTCTTTTTATTTTTATTTTTCTTCTTCTTCTTCTTCCTTTTATTCTCCTTCTTCTTCTTCTTCTTCTTCTTCTTCTTCTTCTTCTTCTTCTTATTCTTATTCTTATTCTTATTCTTATTCTTATTCTTATTCTTATTCTTATTCT